AAGCATCAAACTCTCTGTCGGAATCCATTTTGTGGAAAACTAAAGTGTCAACTTTAGAGAAAATAGGAAGCAACAAATAGACTTTGAGACAAATAATTGACGTAGGTTTTGAGAATGAGATACAAGAAATGTGTATCAATTATATAGTGTCTTAAAAAATGGCTAGTTTACAATGGCTAGTTTATAACGGCTAGTTTATAACCGGCTAGTTTATAACTGCTAGTTTACAAAGGCTAGTTTATAACGGCTAGTTTGCAACGGCTAGTTTGCAACGGCTAGTTTACAACGGCTAGTTTATAACAACTAGTTTATAACGGCTAGTTTGCAACGGCTAGTTTACAACAAATTAAATTCAATTACAATAAAACTAGTCTAATTTGCATAAATTAAAATTACAATAATATTTAATCTCCTAATTTGCGCCTAATAAAATTACAAGCCAATTCATGATCTTTGAGCTGCTTCTCAGTCATTCCAGATGTGTCCTTCATGAGAATTTCATACATTGCACTAAAGTTAGTTGCTTCCTTCGCTTCAGCCAATTTCTTTACTGGAGCACTTCTTTCTAACATTGCTTTTGTCATATTATCCAACTCCTCTTTGTTGGAAGATGTTTCGCCAACCTTTCCTTTACTTTTTCTCTTCGTTGCTTTTTGACCTATTAGACGAGACATTAGTGTTGTTAGGTCATATTCTTTACAATCATTGGCTGCATCTATGTTAGAAGACGTTGAGTATTGCCCAGATTTAGAAATCTTTGATCGTTTAGAAGAGCTCCCCATTGATTCAGATTTCCATTTTGGCTCATCTCTTAATAATAGCCATGCATGCTCAAAATTGAATTTTTCACCTACATCTTGCCAGTAAATTTTATATGCATTTGACATGATGTCTTTTTCTGAGTTGCCACTTTTTTTTTATCACGAGCTTGTTTATAACATCTGACAAATAATTCAACTGCTTTATTGATTCGAAACCAACGAATTTTTAACTGACCTGGATTTCTTACTAGAAATTGATTGCGATTGTTGTTGTAATTCTCCTTGATTCTAATCTAGAAACTATTTTCAGTTTGATCAACTCCTTCGAAATGTTGAGCCATGATTGAGTAAGTAGATTATCCTCTTCGACAGAAAAACTTACACGTGATTTTTTTTAGTACATATTTCTTCTCCTTGTTGCCCTCCAACATTAAGTGTGATGTTCTCTAGCCCTACTTGAGACTCAGATACGGAACCAATTGGTGAATCTGTTTCGGAAAAATTTGAAGGCCTAAAACATATATTGGGATTGGTTGGTATTGGTGGTGGATACATAAAAAAATGGGGATTTGCAGAATTATCATTGGTTGAATGTGGTGGTGGTGGTGGGTATATAAAAGATTAGGATTTTGAGAATTTTCACCGGAAGGAGTTGGAGGTGGTGGTTGGTTTTGTAAATAATTAAAATAACTTTGAAAATTATATTGATTGGGATCCATGTGCTAGGATATAAAAAAAAATTACAAATGAATGAAAATAAAATAATTTTTTTTATGTGAATAGTAAACGTGAATAGTAAATTTTTTGAAATAAATAGTAAGCTTGGACAATGAAATGCAAATAAACTGAACAATAGAGTGCAAATGAACTAGATAAGGTGAACAATAAGTGCAAATAAATTGAATATATTGGACATCAATTTATACATACAACTCCAACGGCTCTCTAACGTCTCTCCAACGGGTCTCCAACGTCTCTCTTTATTTTATTTACGTCTATCAACGTCTCTCACTCTCTATTCACTCTCTATTAACGTCTATCACTCTCTCTACACTCTCTCTTCACTCTCCCTTCACCCTCCTTTCACTCTCTATTCACTCTCTCTTCTCCGACTGGCACTCTCTTTTTACTCTCTCTTCTCCGACTGGTGCGCGAAGGTGTCAATCTTTCGGAGGGGTCGAGGGTGGAGGTGGTCGCACGTGGGGCGGAGGGGTTCGGCCGGGGGGTTCTGGCGCTCGTAGGGTAGAGGTGGTTCCCGCGCGGGCGGCGGGTCTGGCTATATGGAGCCGCGCACGCATGGCAGAGGGGTCTGGTCGGTCGAATTCGCGCGCCGGTTGGGCATTCTGGTCATGCGGTGGTCAGTCGTGCAGAGGGTGTCGCGCGCAGAAGGGTCGCGGGCATAGGGGGTCACGCGTGGAGACACAATACCGGCGACACGCGACCAGCGACGCGCGAACGGCGACATGACTCGGCGTTGGCAAACCTTCCCGGACGAATGAATATGAGGTGAAGGATATGTTTTTTGCTATTTTTTTTATTTTCATAACTTTGGTCCATATTCCATGTAGATCTCTTTCAACCAATCAAATTTCTCTTCTTAGTGCTAAGCACCGTTTCTTGTACAAGCAACAGAGAAATTTTTTTAAGGAACTCAGTTGCCATGTAAGATCACTCTAATGGGGCTTTTTATAAGCACCGTTGCTTAAGAATAAACAACACAGTAAGCACCCCCATTGGAGGTGCTCTTACACATTGTATGTAACTACCGTCCAATTATTTTTTTTTCTCTATTTATTTTTAAATTTGAATTTAATTTCATTATTTTTAAATAATTTGATATGGTTCATATTTTTTTTTATAAATATTTAATATTATTATTTTTATCTAAATTAATATTAATAACATTAATGAAATCTAATGAAAATATAACATTGAACATTATTTAAAAATTAGATGATCAAATTGAATTATTTAAAATGTTCAATTTAGTTATTTAATTTTTAAAAAAATGTTCAATTATCCTTTCAAATAGCTTTATTAATGTTATTAGTGTCAATTTGGATAAAAAAGATAATATTAAATATTTTTTTAAAATTAAAAAATTAAATTAGACCTTTTTGAAAATAATATAATTAAATTAAATCTTAATAATTTGATCTTTTAAGGTGTTTTAATTAAGTGTATGTATTACATGATTAATTGTAAGTTATTGTTAGTTCATCATCATTTATATATATTACATCTATTCAATACATACAGTGATCAAACTTACAATATATAGTTCATACAATTTATCTATATATGTCATTTATAATAAACATACATATAATATTTACCATACACCATTTAATTTTCATTAGAAGGAATAAATTTACTCATGTTCCTCAAAATTAGCATCATGCAACCTGTGTCAACATACTACTTATCAAAAATCAACTATCATACAATAACAACATTTACATAAAATAACACATAGAAAGTTATATTACTCTTATCATACTCATCATTTTATCACATGAAAAACAAAAAGATTTTCTACAACTTTCTTGAAGACTTAAAATTCTAATATCATCATCTATCATGTTGAAAATTATAAAAATAGTAATAGTTTGGACTAATTCTTACAACTTAATATTTTCTCACTAAAAAGGTTATAACTTGAGTTTTAAATATCTTTTGAGGTGATTTAAAAGCTATTGGAAAACTAGAATCTAGGACTATAACTTTCATTAAAACCCCAAAAGCAAATTTGGTCATTTACCTCCACCTCTACAGCGCTCAACTTGCATTGCAGCGCTAGATTTTTTCCAGTCCAATTTTCCCCATCGTTGTAACATCTAACTGTTGTTGCAGTGTTGAATCTCTGTCAAGCCTTATTTTTCATCATTGTAGCACTCATTTTACCACTATAGTGCTAGATCTTTGTTTGAACCTTTTGGGGAATTTACAACGCTTTATTGTCAAAACCAGCACTCCAAAGTTGAATGTAGAGTTTTTTTTTACATGGTTTCCCCTTCATTTCTGACATGCAATTCTCAATTTTTATTTCTAACACTTGTGAAGTGCTCTTTTACACTAATTTATTCACACCAAAATGACATGCATCCAAAATTACATAATCAAGTTCATGCTCTTTGCATCAAAATCCAACCAAAACCCACTTTTATTCCCAAATTTTCTTTTACATGTTCAAGAAATCCAAAGCCCAACTTCAACATGCAAACAATTCAAAACTAATTGTAAATTTCAATGATTTTCAACCAATATTAAGCTTCATAGATCAATAACAATTCAACTGGTACAAAAATTGAATCCAACTTCTGTTACTTGCATTCCAACTATGGAAAGAAGAGAAGAGAAACAAAAAAAAAGAGAAAAAAGAATGCTTTAACCCACAATAACACTCTCAAGGTTTAGATGAGAAAAAAGGAGAAAAAATGATTCAGTGTTACAATCACTATTAAAAGTAATACATTTATTGAAAGAGTGAATTATTTTAATAAAAGTATATCAAAAAATGATACATTTATTATTATTTAAATCTTTATAAAAACTTTAAAATACAGTTATTGTAACATAGGGAATAATATCTAATGTCTTTATTAATAAAAATATCACATTAAATATAATTAATATTGCATAACAATTGATATGTTTCTTTTAATGATATTATTGTTCATCTTAAAGGTTTAAAACAAACTATTTTTATCATCGAGGAAAATAGAAGACTAATATTTAAAAAAATAATAATATGATATTATAAAAATTTAAAATATTAATTTTAAATTTGAGTACATTATAGAATAAATTTTAAAAGAATAAGAACATATATGTCTTAAATTTATTATATAATTTACATAAATAATTGAAAAATATTCCCGTTAATTTAAAAACTTTTAAGTATATAGATTAAAATAATTTATCTTAAATTATAAAAAATTAAAAGAAATTAAAAAATATAAATATAAAAATTAAAAATATTAATTTTAAATTATTTATAATAAAAAAAAAAGTGTTTTGATTTAAAAAAAAGAAAAAAAAAGAAATGTGAAGAGTGAACTTGATAACTGATAAGTGTAGAGTTGGTGAAACTGTAAATGATGACGAATGAGGGGCGGTGGCTTACGCATGAAGTGAAAGGTGGGCGTAGTGATGTCATAAGCGCAACGTCATCATCTGAAATTGAGGTTGGGTGATTGAAGGAGGGCATCGAGGTGTACCCGTTTCTTTATAAAACGCACACCTGGAAGCTTTGTGAAACACGCCACGGCATTCCATTTCCGACAACACGGGACTCTTAATTTCACCTACCGACAACTAAACCCCTTTCTCACTGCCTCCCAACCAGCTTAATTCATCCTTCTCCCTCTCTCCCAATGGAAAATAACAAGAGAGAGGCGCCGGAGAGCGACCAAGAAGAAGACGAGATGAAGATGGAGGAGTTTTACTCGCTGCTCAGGAGTTTCCGGAACGCACGTGATCGCCGCCGAAGGGAATTGGAGAAGGACGAGAGCAAGAGCAAAAAGATGAAACCCCACACCCCAACAACAACACCCAAGCCCCAGCCAGAGGTTTCTTTCCAGTTTCAGGACTTTACCACAGAGATTCACTTCAGAAAGCCTCCTTTGCTTTTTCCCAATCCAATTCCCTGCGACACCACCAACAACAACAACGCTATCAAAAAGAACGAACAACAACACGATCTTGCTCTCGACCTCAAACTCGCTCTCTAGCTTTCAACACCTTCCACCTTCAATTTTATCCCACTCTTTTCAAATGGCCGCTTGTAATATTACTGTTAACGTTTTGTATATATTGCAATGATGCATTTTACTTGCCATGTCTCTAATATCTACCATCTATCTAATTCTTTGTGTATTTCGGCAAAAAAAAAAAAAAACAGAAAGATATTTTCTGTATTCTTGAAGTTGGGAGAAATAATTGTATTTTTCAAATAAAAAATTAAATATTTTTAATATTTATAGAAAAAATGATTTTTAATTTGTTAAATTTTTTCTATCTCTTAAATTTAAAATAATTATTTTAGTTTTTTTTAATTTATTTGATAAAGAAGTATAACTACTTTTCACTATGTCAATTCTTATAAACATAAACTGGTACCTTCACTTTCATTAAATTGATTTTTTGATATTAACAAGTGAAATTTATTTAATTTATTTTTCTTAAAATACAAAAAAAAAAAGTGTCGATTTTTCTATTCTTAGAATACTAAAACTTTCATTTGCTTATGTATTGTAATCATCAACTATAACGATTCTTACTCATAGGGGGAAAACAACTAAAATATTATCTAGATATTTGTATCAATATAGATATATGTGTAAAATTATTAGGGGAAATGAAACAACTATACAAATCTGTGTGTGTATATAGACACACACCCACCTATATAACTAGTTATAATAGAGTAATCCAACAAAACAACAGCAAACCATCCACCATCATGGCTTTAGAAAACTCTACCTACCTCCAACAAGCCCCATTCAGCTCTCATGTAAACATGATCATCATTGTCCAAGCTCCCATGTAAACATGATCATCATTGTCCAACTACCAAGAGACACATGCAAGGGTAAGCTAGACTTTAAAAGAATCAACATATAATGAGTATAAAAGAAAAATGCATCTATACTACCAACTACCTCAACATGTAATGATACTACAAAATCACACCATGGTTTACATGCCTGTCAGATCGATAATTAAATTGAGATACCAATCCTTATCATATGATTTATTGGATGTCATCACTTAGACTAGGAAAGTTCAGTACCACCATCATGTATAGTAGGTGTAGACTTACCACGATATTGACATGCATTAATCAAGGCACTAATGATATTAACTTGCTAACTATCTTCACGATACCACACACTTTTTCAATAAATAGTTAAGGGTTGTAGCTCTCAACTTCATACCTTACTTTAACATTTACTAAGGGTTTATAAGAGACTCTATAATTCACTCAAGGAGGATTTTTTAACAACTAGCCTCCCAGGACGCCACAATAGTATTCACATTATGGGAAATCTAACTTTAGAAAACACCATTTCCTTTAGTCCTAAGTCAATTAACATGCTTTAATGCGTATAACATTCTCAACATCAACATCTCAACAATCATCAACAACATTATTGATAAAATCAAAAAACATGCAACTCAATAGTCCATCAACAAATCATTCCTAACTTTCCATACCTCAATTTTGAGCAAAAGAGATAAAGGAGAAGAGAAAGAAGATTGAATCCACTAAGAACTTTGTACAACACACCTTGATTCTTGACAAGAAGCTTTGAATCAATACCCATAATGGATCAACAGTGATCATCTACACCTTGAAGGAGCCTAGAAAGAAGAAGGAAAACTTCAGGATTTAACAGTGATCATCTCTAAGATTCTCAAGAATAAACTTATGAAGCTTAATTATTAAAATAAACCCTATATACTTCCATTTCTAGGGTATGAATCTTTGTCTAGAGAAACCCTCTAAACACCCAAAACACTTTAGAAGTTCCTTAACTTTTAGAGTCCTTAAAAAACAATTACAAGACAACATACACCACATAATTATTGATAAACAAAATAATAAGGAAAACCTACAATGTTACAATTATTCTCAACAAATAAAAATTTTCGTCTTTGGAAATAAACCTACTTGAGAACAGAAATGGACATTGATCTCTAAACTACTCCTCAACCTTCCAAGTCGCTTTATAAGTAACTATATCCCAAAGAACTTTCACCAAATTGATGGACTTAATTATCCCTCAGTTCCTTTAGCTTGTGATCAATTACAATAACTTACCTCTTTTCATAGGTTAGATTTTCTTTAATCTGCATATCATCCATCTCTACCACGTTTTAAAAGGACTAAACTAATTTGAATGAAAAAAATAACAAAATAAAATAAACATTTTAATAGATAAAAGATTAAAATAAATCTTAAAAATACAAAATAACTAAAAGTATATTTTATTCATAATACTATGAGTCTATGACGGAAAAGAATAAGATTATCTACAATTTTATAAGAATGAAGTAGATAAAAATTTTGTATGATTGGTGAGATTAGAAAACTGCACTCTTGCGTTTTAAATTTGAAAATTTAATTGTTAAATAATTTTAGAATTAGTGAGATTAGAAAATTGCATTCTTGTGTTTCAGATTTGGGAATTTAATTGTGTTAAATAATTTTAGAGTTTGTTTAAATATAAATTTTTAAAAAATTAAGATTTTTTTACAAAAAATAACGATTTTTTTTTATATATAGAAAACTTTCCAAAAAATTATAATTTATATACAAACAAATTCCTACCTAATTTGAAATAAGGTTGTTTCTAATGGAACGTATACGTGGACTGTAAGAAAATAAAATAAAAATCTTAAAACTGTACGGTACAGTTGTTTCAACAGGGGGAAATCATTATTTTTTTTTGCGATGAATCGAATTATTTCACTTTTCTATATTTTTTTTACACCATTCATTTTTCTATTTCTGAAGACTTTAAATGTTGATAAAAAAAGGGTAGGAGGAGGAAAGGATTAGAATTTTGAAGGTTCCTTTGTTTGCTTGCTTTCTAATTTCCTTTTACATTTTCTATTTAATTTAATATTGGAATAAATTTATATGTTAAATTAATTTAACAAATTTTAAATATTTATTTAAATTTTTTTTCTTTTATTGAAAAAGTGAAAGAATTAACTTTTTTTTTATGAAAAACAAATAAGGACTAAGTATTGAGATACTGTTCTCCAAAAAAAAAATTCATTATGCTAGCTCTAGTAAAAAAAGGTTAATATTCAAAGTTGATGCTGATTAAAAAAAAAATGAAACATTGCTTTTAATTATAAAAAAAAAATCAAGAATACTTTAAGGATTATATCTAACATTTATCCCCATTTTTATTCTCTTTACAGAAATACCTAACGTGATAGAATTTGGATCTTGCATTTTTTATTTATTCCAATGATGGCATGAGAGGTGAGCATCGATCATTGTATTCAATTTATTAAAAATATAATTGTTTTAAATTTGTTCAAATGTAGACTTTGTGATGTCAACTTTATTAAAATATCTTAGTTCTACAGTGATGATGTTTAATTAGTAGCTAAACTTTTTATTGAAAAAAAAAATGTTCAAAAGGTATGCACTTTCATCGCTCATAGTTTTATGTATGATATGAATATTGTACCGGTGGATACCCCTTCGGTCACGCAATAGGCCGAGAGGGGTACCCGAACCGGAGGGCCACACCATATAGCACCCCCTCGGTCAGACAATAGGTCGAGAGGGGGGCCCGAACCGAAGAGTCACACTGTGTGGCACCCCCTCGGTCAGACAATAGGCCGAGAGGGGGGCCCGAACCGAAGAGTCATACCACGTGGCACCCCCTCGGTCAGACGATAGGCCGAGAGGGGGGTCCAAACCGATGAACCACAACACCCCCCCTCGGCACCATACCTAGCCGAACACCCCCTCGGCCTCAGGCTAGGCCGAACACTCTTCTGGTCCCTTGGGAAAGACCCAAAGAGTAGTAGTTACTCAACAACGTCCTTTCGGCCCCAAGCTTGGCCGAACACCCCTTCGGCCCCAAGCTTGACCGAACACTCCTTCGGTCCCAAGCTTGGCCGAACACCCCTTCGGCCTTATGCCTAGCCGAAAACATAGTGAAAAACCCATGGTGAACACGTGGCAAACCAGATACCTACTAAGATACTAATCACTAGGCCAGATTAAGACAGGATTAAGGTTAATTCACGTATTACCCGCATCCCAAGAATGAAGGCCCACCAGGCCCAAACATGTCACTATAAATATACAGGTGAAAGGAGTAAGGAGACAAGTGTTCTTCACCCGGAACAAATATCAACAAGGCACATTTAAAAGTACCGGACGAAGAACATGGGGAAAAGAGGTGAAAGCAGTTTCGTTGATGTCTTGGTGATAAGAAAAGAATAATTTTATTTATACTTTTAAGGGAAAGTACCCCATGTTTCTATTAATAAAACTAGCAAATAGTTTCGATGGAGTGAACGATTATTTGGAGATCGTGAGAGATTTCAAAAGTGAAATTAAAATATAAAAGAGCGGCTAAAAATAAGTTTATAAAGCTAGAATAGTTTAATAATTGTCTAATAAAAAAATTATTCCTATTATTATATGTACTAGAAGAGAAAAAAAACATTTTGTGTTTCTCTATTTTTAAAACAAAAAAAATAAATTATGGAGTAAATAGAGTTAAGTGGTTTGAGATGAAAAAATATTAAGAAATGAAGTGTGATTTAATTTTTTGAATTAAAAAAATAAAATATCCATATAAAAATGGATATTAAAATAGTTACTAAAAATAATATTTTCTTTATATATATATATATGATATAAATGTATAAATGATATCTCTTTCAATCTTTATAATGAGACATAAATTAGAAAGGAATAATGATATTTTTTTAATAATTTTTATAAAATATTAATTTTATTTTTCATCTTTTATTTTTATTAAAGATTACGAGAATATATATTTCTTATTTTTGAATAATAAAGAAATAATTTAATAAATAAATGTCCTCTCTTACTTCTTAGACTCTCCAATAGTCATATATAAATTTACTTTATATTATTGTCTAAGTTTTGATATGGAGTAGTAGGTTCTCCCTTTTATTAAAACTTAATTATAATTAAGAAAAATAAAATTGACGTATCATAATTTTATTTTATAAATTTAATAAAATCAACTCACATAATTACTTATATTAATATATGTAATTTAATTAAAATTATCTTATAATAACAACATCAAGGAAGAAATTTTCATAATAACAT